CTTTCAAGTATATGTGAATGGCAACAACCACTCATGGCACCTTTACCACAGCCGCTGGCACCATTATGGCACTACCATACCACCACCCAAGGTGCCGGAACTCTACACCCCCTCTCCCTTTCACTCTCTATTTTAAACACGCTCAGGACCGCAGACAGACGCACGCAGTAGTTACTCCCAAACCTTTGAACTCTATGTCTAAACTAAGAATTTAAATCACGATTACTAGCGAATATTCGAATTGAAACAGGAGGTCTGGGAATGTACGAATCCCGCATTATACGAACCAGTCGTCAAGATACTGGCAGGTAAGAGGTTCCACGCTGCGAGCTGTGGCAGGTTACCACTACCCCCTCTCGCCCCCTTGTCAGGGGTATGAGGATGCTGTAGTATGAGATGCTGTAGTATGAGGAGCTGTAGTATGAGGAGCTGTAGTATGAGGAGCTGTAATATGAGGACGCTGTAGCATAGTCCATCCTATTTTAGTCACCTTAGCTATTTGGACAGCTTGAATCTGTCCCCATTATATGTCCTCTTGAGCATTAAGCCCATTATTTGTGTAATACAACGAGGACTTAGTCAGGTATTATAAGCTTCAGAGAAAAAAAATTACGTAGACATATTATATTATATTATATATATATATATATATATATATATATATATATATATATATATATATATATATATATATATATATATATATATATATATATATATTGAGATTGATTGATTGATGAAGATTACCCAAGAGGTAATTGAGATGCACGAGGCCGCCTCTAGTATACTTTACACCCAGCACACCTCACTACAGCTTCCTGCCTTCCCCCTCAACCCCCCCTATCCAACACTTCTAGAACAGGTATGGTGGGGGGATAGGCAGCGGGGAGGGTGGACCCGTCCCCTTCACCGCCTGCAGCTCCTCCCCCGTCCACCATTACCGTGACCTGACTTGCCGCAACGTTTGCCGCTAATACCGTCCCGTCTCGTGAGATACCGTCTGGACGCCTTCAGAAACACCCTCCTCTTACCTGTCTTTTGTTACCACAGATATATATCTTTGTGTTACGAACACTGGCTGGTGTTCGTAACGCTGCTGCAGCTTTACGAACACTGGCTGGTGTTCGTAACGCTGCTGCAGCTTTACGAACACTGGCTGGTGTTCGTAACGCTGCTGCAGCTTTACGAACACTGGCTGGTGTTCGTAAGGCTGCTGCAGCTTTTGTAAGCCACACACACACAGCTAGGACGCAGTTTCCGTTTCCTTTTCGGTTCAAGGAAACACCAATTCTGATCAAGACCTTTAACCCACCCCTCCAAGCCCCCACTTCTATTCCTCGGAGAGTTTCCTCTCTTTAATCTAGGACACACAGCTTCTAATACTGGGGGGGGGGGTGTAAATCGATTACACGGTGCGGCAGGTGAACTGGGAACGCCCCGCCCACACACACACACAGACTCCAGCATCACTCCCTCTGTGGCACCTTCGCCAGCGGTGCTTTGCTGCAGGCGACTATGCCGCCTTTTCAAAAGGTGCTGTTCCTAGTAATATAACTATCTTTCCCCACCTTCCTTTGATCTTCCCTGCTCCCCAAACTCGACGTTAGCACGCACGCATAATCTGTCTAGCCTTCAGCGAAAGACGAACAGTAAATGAACAAATCCACAAGGGCCGTGACGAGGATTCGAGCCTGCGTCCGGGTGCATCCCAGACACTGCCTTAATCGACTGAGCTACGACAGGGTTAAAAGTGCTATTCAAGCGCCCTAAAACCTAATGTAGTTTAAGCATATGTCGAACGGGACTACCAAGTTGTTCTCCAGTAGTTCAGGGACACGGTGCGACCCGTGGATTTTCCAACTATCAGGAAGTTGCTAGATACATTGGAACTGGTTATCTTGAGGTTATCTTGAGATGATTTCGAAGCTTTCAGTGTCCCCGCGGCCCGGTCCTCGACCAGGCCTCCACCCCCAGGAAGCAGCCCGTGACAGCTGACTAACACCCAGGTACCTATTTTACTGCTAGGTAACAGGGGCATAGGGTGAAAGAAACTCTGCCCATTGTTTCTCGCCGGCGCCTGGGATCGAACCGAGGACCACAGGATCACAAGTCCAGCGTGCTGTCCGCTCGGCCGACCGGCTCCCCGACTGGATGCGCAGCACAGGATACGACCCACAAGGGCTCGAGACATATAATGCCTTACTACTAACCAAGAACCACCATTAATAAAGAGGATTTTCCATACTGAATAAGACTCGCCCATCCTCGCCCATCCTCGCCCATCCTCACCCATCCTCGCCCTCATCCTTCCCCCAGTGAGGAAAATCCTCTTAGTTAATCGGGCCAGCTCCGGAGATCGCCAACCAAACAGCATTTACTACTACCAAGGACATTTACTACGACCTACCTTTCTTCTTTTCATTCCAAGGAATGAAACCTTACGTCCTTTCCTTCCAAGGAAGATGTAGCTTCCTTCTTTCATTGAATCTTGGTTGCTGTAATTTCTGAGTGCGTTACTGGGGGGGAAGTTACCCAAGCTGAGGTATTAACAAGAAAGTTTACCCATGATGAAAAAGAGAGAGAGAGAGATAGAGATAGAGAGAGAGAGATAAGAGAACGAACGAACGAACGAACGAACGAATTCGACCTCCTCCCATCCCCTTCAACATTAAAGGAATCAACCAATTACAGCATCAGAGTGGAGAGAAAAGTGTACTCTTCACCGCCTCCCTTCCTTCACTATCCTCCCTTCTTGTACGCTACCTACCTTCCCCACCCCCTGGCTTCCCCCTACCTACCTACCTATCTTCCTGGTAGCTACCTACTTTCTGGTCGTAACTACCTACTTTCCTGGTCGTTGTACCCTACCTACCTTCCCCTTGGTCGCTTTGGGACCAGGTCAGTGCAGGTCCCTCCCGCTGACCCGAGGGGCTCAATACAGACCTGCACCCTAACGAACCTTCCCCTATGGACACAAGGAAGCACCACCGGCCAGCCAAGAGCCCGCGGACGATGACACTACGATGGGTCGAGGGTGAATGAGGGGAAAACAGCGAGGGTTTGACAATAATTACAGCCTGTACAACCCCCACAATGAACTCCGAAGTTACCCTCGGGCGTAATTTGTGGTATACCACTTTCCTAAATCCCTTTCCCTGCCCCCCCTTCCCTCCCTTCCCTTTCGCCACGAGTCGCTCACACGTGCCAATTCCCAGCACTCATGGCCGACCATCCTGCGACCTTACTTCTACACTATTAGCCAATGCTTTCTACAATAGACCTGAAAATTACACAAGGCTAGGCCGGCAAATTCATTGTTTCCACGACGCATGGAAATCGGAAAACATACCTTGTGCATCGGACAGATATCTATAGCTACATATTTATTTTCAAGCATTGAAATGGACGACGTTCCACGGCTTAGTCTATGCTGCTGTGTCTCTCCCCCTAGTGATAGCTTCAGTGGTATCTGGTCCTGCTGTTGTGTATGTGTTCCTGGTGATAGGTTCAGTGGTGTCTGGTCCTGCTGTTGTGGGTACCTGATGATAGGTTCAGTGGTGTCTGGTAATGCTGTTGTGGGTACCTGATGATAGGTTCAGTGGTGTCTGGTCCTGCTGTTGTGGGTCCCTGATGATAGGTTCAGTGGTGTCTGGTCCTGCTGTTGTGGGGTCCCTGATGATAGGTTCAGTGGTGTCTGGTCCTGCTGTTGTGGGGTCCCTGATGATAGGTTCAGTGGTGTCTGGTCCTGCTGTTGTGGGGTCCCTGATGATAGGTTCAGTGGTGTCTGGTCCTGCTGTTGTGGGGTCCCTGATGATAGGTTCAGTGGTGTCTGGTCCTGCTGTTGTGGGTCCCTGATGATAGGTTCAGTGGTGTCTGGTCCTGCTGTTGTGGGGTCCCTGATGATAGGTTCAGTGGTGTCTGGTCCTGCTGTTGTGGGGTCCCTGATGATAGGTTCAGTGGTGTCTGGTCCTGCTGTTGTGGGTCCCTGATGACAGGTTCAGTGGTGTCTGGTCCCAGCTCCTCCATTCCACCCGGTCCGTCTAATTACCAAAAACTACCACATACTACACACGCTTCAGAAAACTTCCTGGCAATACGTTAGTAATGAATAAATATGATATATTTACTCATTACAATGTTGGTGCTGAACATACAACATGAAAAAACATAATTTTAATCCGAAAAAGTATCTTTTTATAAAGAAATTAGACGAAAATAAAAAGCTGGTGACGCCAAATCAAGTCGACGATCCAAGCTTCGGTTAGGTTAGGTTAGGTTAGGTTAGGTTAGGTTTGGTTAAGTTAGGTTAGGTTAGGTTAGGATAGGTTAGGATAGGTTAGGTTAGGTCAGCCTAACTTAATATATCATATTTATTCATTACTAACGTATTGCCAGGAAGTTTTCTGAAGCGTGTGTAGTATGTGGTAGTTGTTGGTAATTAGACGGACCCATTCCACCTGGTAGTTCCTTAATACTTTGAATAGTGTGTTCAATGTTTGCACCACCCTGCTCAGTATGGCAACATTCCCAATACATAGTACACTTATACAATTCTATTCGCAGATATACATACAGTTAACACTAAGAGGCTCAGCGGAGGATTTGAGCTACATGTGAGTCTCAGAATTCCTACGTAGGTGTGCGGCTTGTCTACATATGTAACCGAAGGATTCTGGCCACAGCTCTCCAGGAAGTGATTATGGTGATCCACGAAGCTCATCTTCCCTACAAAGGCGGATTAAAGCCCCGTGAACCACACCGTAATCTCAGACCAGTCGGTAAGACGACTCCAGTGGGGTGGTTGTTATAGATTCAGCTACTCGGACCAAGTTCCAAGTAGCACGGGCTATGGTGAGCCCGAAGTGGACTTACCTGGCACAGGAGCAGTGCTGTGTGTGTGTCCAATGGGGAGAGACTTGATGTTCATAAAGGACTGTCAATATCCCCACCAATCGCTGCTACCCAATACCAGTTCGTCAACTATACGGAACAATACTCACGTTATGTTGAAGACGGTTGTTGACAGAGTTGACGGCGATCTCCTCGAACTCGAACGAGTCCTCGGGGCGGTAGTAGATGTAGTAGAGGTCCACGGTGCCGTAGAGCTCCTCCGGGCGGAGCCACTGCAGGTAGAGGGTGGCATCGGCCTGGCAGGTGAGGTTGGAGATGGAGGGAGCGCCCGGACCCGACACGTCGGTCGACACGAACACGGGCGCCGACGACTTGCCCTCGTGTCTCTGGGTGAACGCCTTCGTCCACACCTTGAAGTGCGTATTGGGCTCTGTAATAGAACAACAGTAAGCGTTAGTACACCCCACATTGTGTACTGGACTCTGTAACGGAACACTAACGGAAGTCACTTGTGTTAGTACACCCCACATTGTGTACTGGACTCTGTAACGGAACACTAACGGAAGTCACTTGTGCTGTCCCGTCTCGAGTACTGCTCAGTACTCACTTCCCCCTTCAGAGCAGGAGAGATTGCTGAAATAGAGGGAATACAGAGAACATATACGGCACGCATAGACGAGATAAAACACCTAAATTATTGGGATCGTCTCAAAGCTCTCCAAATGTACTCTCTAGAAAGGAGACGAGAGAGATACCAAATAATATACACATGGAAAATACTGGAGGGTCAGGTCCCAAATCTACACAGTAAAATAACAACGTACTGGAGTGAACGATATGGAAGAAAATGCAAGATTGAACCAGTAAAGAGCAGAGGTGCCATAGGCACAATCAGAGAGCACTGTATAAACATCAGGGGTCCGCGGTTGTTCAACGTCCTCCCAGCGAGCATAAGAAATATTGCCGGAACAACCGTGGACATCTTCAAGAGAAAACTGGACGGTTTTCTAAGAGAAGTTCCGGATCAGCCGGGCTGTGGTGGGTACGTGGCCCTGCGGGCCGCTCCAAGCAACAGCCTGGTGGACCAAACTCTCACAAGTCGAGCCTGGCCTCGGGCCGGGCTTGGGGAGTAGAAGAACTCCCAGAACCCCATCAACCAGGTATCAACCAGGTACTAGGCGTTAGTACACCCCACATTGTGTACTGGACTCTGTAACGGAACACTAGGCGTTAGTACACCCCACATTGTGTACTGGACTCTGTAACGGAACACTAGGCGTTAGTACACCCCACATTGTGTACTGGACTCTGTAACGGAACACTAGGCATTAGTACACCCCACATTGTGTACTGGACTCTGTAACGGAACACTAGGCGTTAGTACACCCCACATTGTGTACTGGACTCTGTAACGGAACACTAGACATTAGTACACCCCACATTGTGTACTGGACTCTGTAACGGAACAACACTGGCATTAGTACACCCCACATTGTGTACTGGACTCTGTAACGGAACAACACTGGCATTAGTACACCCCACATTGTGTACTGGACTCTGTAACGGAACAACACTGGCATTAGTACACCCCACATTGTGTACTGGACTCTGTAACGGAACAACACTGGCATTAGTACACCCCACATTGTGTACTGGACTCTGTAACGGAACAACACTGGCATTAGTACACCCCACATTGTGTACTGGACTCTGTAACGGAACAACACTGGCATTAGTACACCCCACATTATAAATAAGTTTATCACTGAACAACGATAACCAGTAATAACAGAGGTAGCAAAATATCAGCTGTCAACGTTGAAACTGTCTAAACGAGGAAGAGGGTCTGGGATTTATGATTAGTAAAGAACTACAGCAAAATAAATACACACATATAAATGTCGGAAGTAAGGGAAAATAGAATTATGTACCGACATTCATATCTAGGAGCGATAGCGATAAGACCTCTGATTGTTGAGGTTCGTCTTGACAGAGTTAGGCTCAATTCAGATTATGCTGTTCAGTTTTGTTCTCTGAACTATAGAATGAACAAATCATAAGAGTAAAGGGAGGGGATTGGAAGAGAGGTAAGGGAGCAGAAGAATAATGAGGGAGGAGGATAAGGAGGCGAAAGATTAGGAAGACGAGGAAGAAATGATGAAGGTGAGTAGGAGAAAGAAGAGGAAGAGAAGAGAGGAGGAGGATGAAAAAAGGAATAGCATGGGGAAAAATTGAACAGGAGAAAAACTGAAGATGTCCTACCACTTATAAGGACACTTTCACCCTCTCCCCTACAGCAGTCTCTCCTCCTCCCCTACAGCAGCCCCCACTACCCATCAACCACCACCACTACACCAGGGGGGGGGGGGTCCCCCCCTCACAACTACTTCACCAGAGGGGGAACCCTACTGGCCATCACCCACTACATCTCTCTACTAACGAAGGTGCTCATTTCACACACTAATTCAGCAGGCCAACACAACTATCACCTTTTGTCGTTAAGACCTTTTGTTCTGGGTTGTGGTGGTTGTGGGTGTTGAGAGTGGTGGTGGGTGTTGAGAGGGGGTAGTGGTGGTGGTGGGTGTTGAGGGGAATGGTGGTGGTGGTGGTGGTGGTGGTGGTGGGTGTTGAGGGGAATGGTGGTGGTGGTGGTGGTGGTGGTTGAGGGTGGTAGTGGTTGTGGGTGTTGGAGTGCGTGTAGATAAACACGTGAGTGACCAGCTGGGACAAGGAAGTCCAATACCCTGAGGTACACACACACACGTGTCAGCCAGTGGTGTAGTACACCTACTCACGGACCATCACCACACCCACACAGTGTTCCCATCACCACTCTCGCCGGCGACCTTCAGCCCCGGCGACACCCCCCCCCCCTTCCCACTCCTTCCTCGCATACACCCCTCCCCCCTGCATTACTCACTATTGCATCCCGGTGTACCCTTCCTCCCCCCCCCTCCCCCCCGGCGCCTGCACACACAGGTGCGCGCCTCGACACGCGTGTACACACACACACACACACACACACACACACACACACACACACACACACACACACACACACACACACACACACCACACACACACACACACGCGCGCACGCTATTTGTTTGTTATGCCTTTGTGGTTATACAATATATATGTTGTATAACCACAAAGGAATAACAAACAAATTACTTTGTGCTAACCAATATCTCTTCAGAAGTATCAAAAAAGTGTGTGTGTGTGTGTGTGTGTGTGTGTGTGTGTGTGTGTGTGTGTGTGTGTGTGTGTGTGTGTGTGTGTGTGTGTGTGTGTGTGTGTGTGTGTGTGTGTGTGTGTGTGTGTGTGTGTGTGGGTGTGTGTGTTTACTATTTGTATCTGCAGAACCGAGCTATTAACTCTTGACTCTTGGGCACCGCCTTTCAAATCGATATATTTTTCCTGTGCTATATGCCTGATGCATGCGTATTATATATATAGGAAGCCTTAGTTGAGGACCGGGCCGCGGGGACGCTGAGCCCCGAAATCATGGCAAGGTATATGTGAACCACAAAGTTCAGATCAAACACAACAAAGAGGACACAGGTGGAAATGCAAACGCGTCCCAAGGCACGCGAGGAAGCCCTCGTACCCAGCGCGAGAGGTCAACAAGAGGAATACACTGAAAGAGCAAGTTGTAGAAGCCACCTCCAACCCACAGCTTTTTAAGACCAGGTGCGGCAAAGAATTTTGAGAATCAGAACAGTTACGTTGTACAGCCACAGGTACAGTAGGCGGGGGAACAGGGAGCTAGACTTAAGTGCTTACCTAAGTGCTTACCTAAGCGCTGTTAGGTAAGCACTGGACCAGCACCATGTTGTTGTTGTTGTTGTTTCAGTTTTAGCTACTCAGGACGAAGTGTCCATGTAGCACGGGCTATGGTGAACCCGTAAAAACTTACCAGCACCAGCTAGCAAAACCTGATTCCTATTTTGTAGGTCATGAGAACACCCCCCACCCCCTCCCTCTCGACGCGGTGCTGACAACCAATTTCCGCTGAGGGCGCGTATTAGCATGTCAAGGTGGGATAGGGGTGGAAGGGTGATAGGGGTGGGGGGGAAGCAGGTGGGGGAGGATGGTGGAAAGGATAATTAGTAAGAGCTGGAGGAGGAGGAGGAAGAGGGTGTAACGGTGGCTACCTCACACGCGTGAAAGACACGAGATGGTTTACTCTTGGTTTACACCAAGACTGTAAGGGAGCGAAGCAAGGAGGACAGGAGGAATAGGAGTGGGGGAGTAGGAGGCCAAGGTGGTAGTAGGAGACTTGGGGGGAGGGAGTAGGAGGCCAGGGGTGGGGGGTCGAGTGGACCAGGGTAATGATCTCCCGGACGCAGGTTCGAATCCTCGTCACGGCCCTTGTGGATTTGTTCAGGGTAATGATTTTTGCTAATCGTCACTCAGCAAGCACTTCACACACCCTATAACCTTCCCTATAGCCTAGGGCAGCTCCATCACGGTGCTTATGTACCTAAATATGATGATAAAGGAACCCTCCACAGTATACCGCTTGGTAACGCGATTTGTGATTTGATTTTATACTGTATATACGAGTGATAAGCTGAGCAGTGGACGGAGCCGACGCTACTGATCCACACACACACACACACACACACACACACACACACACACACACACACACACACACACACACACACACACACACACACACACAACGTTGTGTCACTTCGGTAGTTCGGACTCGTTGCCCCCGCTCACCTTTAGAGCTAGAACATGTTTAATGACTAAACCAACCGCTGTTATATTCTGAACAGGGGTTAAGTAGATGGTTTCAATAGCATACAAGGCGTGCTGCCAGCTGACTGTGTCTCAAGGTCACTCTAGTCTTGTCTCGTACCTTTAATAGTGCTCTCTCAAGAGTAAGGGGAGCAAGGGACACCTCTCAGGTGCCATCTGTCCAGTCCGTCTTCCTCAGGTGCCCCAACGTCAAGAAACTGTCGTACTAACGTGCCCTTATCCTAACCTACCAGAGGACCCAAAACAGAAAACGGTACAGTATGTCAATTTCGCGAGCCGCTACCATTTTCTAGTACGAGGTTTTTTGGACTTGCAGTACAAATGCAACATTGCTCTATTAGGAAGACGGGTTGATCTGTCGGCACCTGTACCAGAAATGACACAGGAAGCTCCGTCAGTTGGTGGTGTCGTACCGTACCTTTCCTTGTGGTGAGTGCAGGTGACACACGTGGTGAGTGAACTGACCCCACCTGCGACCCCAGGTGAACCTGCCCTCCTCCCCCCTACACACCTGCCTTCTCTCTACACCATAATTACCACCATTGTCTACCTGGCCAGCACCGCTCCACGTCTGCTACTCTCCCAACAGCTCCCACCAACCTTAGTCATGCCCTACAAAAACTTGCACCCCACGATTCACTTTCCTCTTCTTTACGCACACCCCACGTTACCGGCTAGGCGATTATCGGGGGAAAACATGTTAAATAATATATTCACAATACGTATAGACCCCCAACCCCAGGTACCCCCAGGTGCCCCAAATAGTGGGGTTAAGCAAGGGTTCTCACTGAAGCAGGGGGAATGAAGGGAGAAAGGGAGACTGGACCAGAAGGCAGTGTAGCCCTCGGCTCGAATGATGGCACGAATCCCAATAAACAGGTTGATCATATTCTGTCATTTAATGCTGCCTTCAGCTGCTGCACGATACCGTCTACCATGGCACGGCTGAGTGGCACCTTGGCACGGCTGAGTGGCACCTTGGCACGACTGAGTGGCACCTTGGCACGACTGAGTGGCACCTTGGCACGACTGAGTGGCACCTTGGCACGACTGAGTGGCACATTGGCACGGCTGAGTGGCACCTTGGCACGACTGAGTGGCACCTTGGCACGGCTGAGTGGCATCTTGGCACGGCTGAGTGGCATCTTGGCACGGCTGAGTGGCACCTTACCATTCTTCAAATTGCCATTTTTGTATTTGCTCGTAAGATAAAAAAAAAGGTGCCACATACTGAAGTGATGGTGGCCTCAACCATACTATATGGTATACGAGACAGTGACACCGTCAACCATACTATATGGTATACGAGACAGTGACACCGTCAACCATACTATATGTTATACGAGACAGTGACACCGTCAACCATACTATATGGTATACGAGACAGTGACACCGTCAACCATACTATATGGTATACGAGACAGTGACACCGTCAACCATACTATATAGTATACGAGACAGTGGCACTGTCAACCATACTATATGGTATAAGAGTGGCACCGTCGACCACTCTCTCAACACGGTGCCATGGGTCGACACCCCACACTGGCACTCCGGGCGGAGGGGGCAGGCAGCGAGGGGCCTGGCACACCAGGTGTCACCACCCCGGCGGACCATGAAGGAGAAAGGAACGCAAGATAAGAGATTTATATTTATTGTGTATATAAAAGCTTAGGTAAACTGCGCTGGGACGTAGACTATTAGTCTACTACTCTTCATTCTGGCGAACTTAGGGCGCATTACTTAAGGTATCTTGTAATACAGGAGAGAGAGCAAGCTTAGCTTAGCTGCCAACACCCACACATCGTGTCAGCAAGGCTGACAGCCCGCCTGCTATCATAACTTTCACTGTATTTCCCACTTCTAAACTTCCCTTCACCTGCGCCTCTCCATCCTCTATACTTCCCCAAAAAATGGCAACAACACAGCAACTACACCAGCATCATAGCGAAGCAACACTTAAGCACCGAGATTTAATTGCCTCGGCAGGGACCTTCTTACGGGCTCACCATAGCCCGTGCTACATGGACACTTCGTTCTGAGTAGCTAAATCTAAAACAACAAACATGTCCCAGCAACACCACTAGTCAGGTAGATATTGTCTGGGGAGCATCAAAGCAGCAGGGAACACCAGTGAATGCAAGTGTTGCAAAGCAACGGCAGTCTGGGGCGGCAGCAGTTGGCCCGTTGCAGGGGCAACAGAAACAACCCCCACCCCCCCATACCTTTCTCAAAATAACAGCAATCCTGGCCGCCGTAGCAACATAACACGTGCAGTAAGAGAAATGAGAGGTGGAGGTAAGGGGGGTGGGGGGGCCGGACAGCCGGTACTGGGCCGGTTGCCAGGTGATAAGAGCGGCAATGACTACTATACTATACTGTTGAGGCCGGCCAACACCCCTACACTATTGATCCGTTGTCATCCACTCTTATGCAACTCTCCGTAAGGACTGAAAGCCCCGCGCGCGCGCACTCCGGCTCTTAAAAACCTCAATCACACCAATTACTCTAAATTGTTCAAGACCGCATCTTTGATTCATTGCGCCTCAAATGACCACCCGCTTGCTTCCCCGTGCAACAAACACCAATCATTATGGGCCCCTTCACCTCGTTCATCACAACACCTAACCCAAAGAGAGTCCCGAAGCACGTCTAGTCAGCAGATAACAATAACTGAAAATTATACACCCAGCCCAAATACCCGGAAAGGCTCCGGGACGGACTGAAACGTTGTTATTTCTGTTATTTTCACATGTGTGGGGGGTCGGGCGTCTCCCGAAGCCTGCCTGACTCCAGAAGCTTCGCTGGTCATGTCAAAACGGACGGGCACGAATGGAGAGTGATTGATGGAAACTGCCCAGTCACACGGATACTCAACAAGAAGTTTACTGTCGGTGAATGTGAATTAGTAGACTAGACGAGCGAATGAAGTAGTGTGAAGGCAGACACCATACGTGAATTGCCACAGGTGTGTCAGGATGGTTTGATGTCACATGTGGAGTGCCACAGGTGTGTCAGGATGGTTTGATGTCACATGTGGAGTGCCACTTGTGACGGTCGGGGGGGGGGGGAGGTCAGTATTGGGACCAGATTTGCTCTTGATTTATATTGATGCAATTTATAATGGTTTGTGTTACATAATATATATAAATTTGCCGAATTGAAGACCTTAGTAAATTGGTTTAACAAATAACAAAATTGGCACAACGAAAATGATTCAGAGATTTACAAATGAACCATACGAAGCCCATTTAAAATAAGCTAAATTTATTGAGCGGTAAAAGGCCAGGAATAAGAGGTAATGTAATACAAATATTAAGATTAATAAAAGGAAAATTAATTTAGGCTTGACACCAAATTGTCTAGGGAAAAAAAATCACCTACATAGTCACGTCTATGGTAGAAAAGCTGTAAAAAAAATGTAAAAAAACACATATTGGACTCGATCCACACCCAGGCAGGTATTAATTAATTAGAGGAGTCGTGTGTAGATGCAGACTCATACTCAGACTCATTGACTCATGCCCAGAGGCGCGGGGGTAAACAACACATGTTTATTCATTACATGAGTAATTCCCTTACCCCAGCACGTGACAGATGAACCTCGACACCCACTATGGGACACTCACGCCTCTGTGCATGCCGCACACCATGGCGGGACCAAAAAGCCAGAGCCCAACCCCCGCAAGCGCTACTAGGTGAGTACCATCTGATCACGAAGTACCTGGCGGCGCACGCACGCACGCACCTGGCACCATTAATCACCAGTCCAGAGAGAGCAACGAACAACAATTGATATTAAAGACGCCACCGGCAACACTCGGGTCGCATGCGAGCCCTCAAAACTTTATATAAAGGTGTAAACACTAGGAATAATTACGCGCGAAACTCCCATCGAGAAGTTCTTGGCATCTTCACCGCTTCCTCCCCCCAACCTCCCCTCCATTTTCCCCAATCTTTACCCCCCATCATAGGCACCCCCATCTTCTCCCTCCTCCCCCCTCTCCATCCATGACAGTTATCTGCATCAAATGAGAAATGTAAACAACGTTTACAGGTGATGTTGGCCAGCGAGAGTATTGACCCGTTACGAGTCCTGCTCCGCTACGCCACCCGCTGTACCGTGCCCAAGCTGCCAGGTGTACCGTGCCCAAGCAGCCAGGCGTACCGTGCCCAAGCAGCCAGGCGTACCGTGCCCAAGCAGCCAGGTGTACCTTGCCCAAGCAGCCAGGTGTACCTTGCCCAAGCAGCCAGGTGTACCGTGCCCAAGCAGCCAGGTGTACCTTGCCCAAGCAGCCAGGTGTACCGTGCCCAAGCAGCCAGGTGTACCTTGCCCAAGCAGCCAGGTGTACCGTGCCCAAGCAGCCAGATGTACCGTGCCCAAGCAGCCAGATAGGAGAATAAAGAGGAGTTCCCACAACCCGGGGGGGGGGTGGCGGGGACTTGACCTGTCCCCAACGGTCCCTGTTACGTGGTTGACAGCTTGTCATAGTAGTTACCTGGTTGATACCTGGTTGATGGGGTTCTGGGAGTTCTTCTACTCCCCAATCCCAGCCCGAGGCCAGGCTTGACTTGTGAGAGTTTGGTCCACCAGGCTGTTGCTTGGAGCGGCCCGCAGGCCCACATACCCACCACAGCCCGGTTGGTCCGGCACTCCTTAGTGGTGTTCGAGTTACTCTGGAACATGTGGAAGAACTGACCATCTTCAGCTCTGATCTGACCAAGCCACCCACACAACGGTCGACTAACTCCCAAGTACCTATTTACCGCTAGGTGAACAGGTGCAACGGGTGTGAGGAGCCGCGCCCGGCAGTCTCGCCCTGCCCAGGATGTGTAGCATGATATACCCCATATTGTTTCAGTTAGGAAAATATATTGATACCGTTCTTAAAAGATTCCCCCCATTTTGCACCCGCAAGATAACGTAAGATGTTAAGGGTTGACAGATGTTAATCTTCTTGTTTGAGGAGCTGGTCACTTGAGACAGTTAAGCAAGTCCCTAGTGTGTCTGCGTACAAGTGACAGGATGAACAACCCAGCGGGTTTTCTTCCTATTGGGGAGTGTTGTACATGCTGCTATGGCAGTGTGTCCACTCACAGGATGAGTGACGCTGCCCAATACTGTCACTATGGCGGTGTGTCCACTCACAGGATGAGTGGCGCTGCCCAATACTGTCACTATGGCGGTGTGTCCACTCACAGGATGAGTGGCGCTGCCCAATACTGTCACTATGGCGGTGTGTCCACTCACAGGATGAGTGGCGCTGCCCAATACTGTCACTATGGCGGTGTGTCCACTAACAGGATAGGTGGCGCTGCCCAATACTGTCACTATGGCGGTGTGTCCACTCACAGGATGAGTGGCGCTGCCCAATACTGTCACTATGGCGGTGTGTCCACTAACAGGATAGGTGGCGCTGCCCAATAAACTCGCCCTCGGGGCAAAATTTAAAAATTTAAAAGGACGACGAGTCTTCTTGGCGGGAAGGTGAGTAGAGTAAGAGTGGCGCGGTGTAAGGGAGAACTGTAACCCCCACCCGAACACCTCCAGCTGGTGAAGGAGTAGGGTCTTAAGACCTGAGAGGAATATCTACCCCTCTACGTCATCACTACTTTATAAACGTATAAGATACAAACGATCATAACCCAACGCAAGTAAGACATAAAGTTGTGTTTTGCATGTAAGGTGCACACGAGATGTGACATCACTATGACGTCATGATGTTCATGCCGGTACAGGGTTTAGACCCTACTCCCTAACGGCCAGGTTACGCAATATATAAATGGAAACTTCAACAAACCTTTTCCAGTAATTGCTGTTGGGTACATGCCCAGCATCGGCGGGTTGAGATTGCCATCAAAGAATGCCATGTGGCACTATGCCAATACAACCCCCCCCCCAACCTTGCGACCTTACTTTGCGATGGTTTCAGGGCTCAACGTCCCCCGCGGCCCGGTCCTCGACCAGGCCTCCTGGCATGGAGGCTGGTCCACAGTGATGGAACACCAACCACTAAGAGGCACTGTGGAGGATGGGCGCCCGCGCGCGTGAATCGAACGAACGGTACCAGTTAATCCTCTTACGGACACCCCCCCCCCCCTTCCACATCACCTAGTCGCATCACCCGCCACAATACCGACGCTT